TCCCTGTTGGGGCGGGCGCGCTGTTATCGCAGCTGTGAGACCCAGCGCCTCGGGGGCCCCGCATCCCGCCACCGCGTCAGCGAGGATGTGCGCAGCGACTTCCAGCGCAGAGTGCCCTACAACTACCTGCAGCGGGCCTACATCAAGGTACCCACAGAGCGCTCCTCCACTCCAAAGACCCTGCGGCTCTCACATGCTCTCTTGAGCCCTCCCTGCTGCCCCCGTCATCTCTGTTCAGTCTTTCAAATTGGGTGTCCTTAAATATGTGTCTCAGTTTGTCAATCCAGATATCTGGTGGCCCTGTCTCTGTACGCAACAATTGATTAACTTGGACAAGTCTTTTTCTCTCTTTCTCAGCGTCAACTTCTCTCTCAAAAAGAGGACTGTCCTGATAACGTGAGGGTTAAAGGACGCATTCAGCACGAATTCAGGAGGCGTTGACAAAGCTGAATCTAGTACAAGTTATCTTCTCCCTGCTCCCTTCCCATTTCTCTTCTGTCTCCTCTCTCATCCTTCCTATACTGTAGTCTGCACCTTTTCTCTGAAGTTTAAAAGAATCTTCAAAATAGTGAAGTTGAAAGACCTGTTCCAAAACAAATTTCTCTGTCTTCTCCCCTTCACCTACAAAAAAGTAAAGATCAAAGGTGAAAGAGAAGGTATGCTTGGAGGAGGCCAAGCTGTTTGAGGCAGTCTCAGCCAAAGTATCCATCCTAAGTGTTGACTTTTTCTCCTTTGACAGAGGGCTTCCGTTTTCTGGTGGTAGGCGTTGGACTGGGTTACTGGGCATCAGTCCTCTCCTGGTAGTTTTATTTTTATATACCTATCTTACCTAAAGTTAGTGACAGGAGGTATAGTGTGCATACTGACATATTTTTCACATACGTAACTTTGAAGATCTGTCTGGATGCTTCAGCAGAGGGAATTTGAATGAGTTCTTCAGCCTCCACTGCCACTCACCCAATTTTGCTTCAAATTGACACTCTTAACCCCTCTTTCTGGTTTTCTATGTTAATATTTCAAAGTCTCTTCTACAACTATTGGAAAAGTGGAAGCTTTGGGGTTGGTTGGTCATGCTAGCCAATGGACCAGGCTGCTTTGCTTTCCTTTGCTTTTCTGTTTTTGATGGAGTTTTGCTCTTGTCACCCAGGCTGGAATGCAGTGGTGCAATCTTGGCTCACTGCAACCTCCGCCTCCCAGGCTCAAGCAATTCTCCTGCCTCAGCTTCCTGAGTAGCTGGGATTACAGGTGTGCACCATCATGCCCGGCTAATTTGTGTGTGTGTGTGTGTATTTTTAGTAGAGACGGGGTTTCCCCCTGTTGGTCAGACTGGTCTCGAACTCCTGACCTCAGGTGATCCACCCATCTCGGCCTCCCATAGTGCTGGGATTACAGGCATGCGCACAGCCGGACCAGGCTGCATATCTAAGGAGATGAAAGTACATACCATGTTCAAATATCCAAATGCCTTTTGCAGCTCATCCCACAAAATCTCTGCCCTCATATGTGGTAGGGGTCTCTCAGATTGGCAACTGTTGGTGGAGTGCATGAAATTTCAACTCAGTATAAATCTTAACCTCCTGTGTATTGTGGCTAAGGTGTTGGAGTTCACTGGACTAGTATCGTGGGCAAGAAATGAGGAGAAAGCCTGAATCCTTTCCAGGACTTGTCTTCTACTTGCTTGTGCCTCCTGACTGCTGAGACATATATGAAGTATAACTCTGATTTCTTCTAAGTGATTTACACAGTTTCTGGTGGTCTCACAGAAATCAGTCAACACCAGGCAGAGAGGGGTCCTTGAGTATCTGACAGTGACGTTATCATAAGCTAGTTCCCAGAGAAGGACATGGGTGGTCCCTGTAGCTTGCTCCTCGCAGGAGTCTCCGATGTGAGGTTAGCAGTCCTGCTGTTAATTCTGTCACAAATTTTGGACATATTTTCCTTTCTCATATGTGGAGAAAGAATACATATTCATGGTCAGTCCTATAAAAATAAATAACCATGAGGTAACTCTCAATATGTGGGTTTCCCTGGTTCTGGAATTCTGCTTGCTTCACTGCTAATGTTAGCATTTGTCAGTCATTTCCCCTCCTGTTCCCTGGTTGGAGGTCAAAGAAGGTGAAGCCATAGGTTTAACATACCTCAGATTTTTGTGGTGAATTGATTACAGGAACAAGTCACACTCTGTAAGTGAATTACTGGATGTTGTCCGATGAATTAATGAAGTTTAAGACATTCTTTCAAAGGTGTGTGGCTTCATATGTTCATTTCAGTTCTACCAGCAATATTTCTGAGAGCAGAACAAGTTTTGCATCTTCTCCCTTACTTCTCTTCTCTGGCAGTTTCTTGGATCTACATAATTGATAATCTCTTAGGAAGAAAACATTTTTATCCCTTTGGAAATTCATTTTTGAAAGTTGGAGTTTGTGAACATCTAAAAATGCATCACGGTTTTTCTCCCCCCCTGCACCCCCCCCCCCCCAGCCCCCAAGAACGCCACAATTTTAGCCTTTTCTTAACTTCCTTGGAATTTCACTTATGAATATGCACACACACCATCTTTTGAGACTGAAAAAAAAAAAACCTCTCTCAAATAATAAAAGAATATCCTTGAGCTCTGACAGGTCTGGATTCTAGGGCATTAATTCCCCGATGTTAGGATGAGGAACTCCCTGCATGTGACTGGATAGGGTCATAGTGCCCTGTATTGCTGAATTGCTTTTGACATCAGTGATCCAGTTTGCACTTTAAAGGATAACCCTGGACCAGATCAAATTCAGTGAGGGAGGACTGGAATGCTTCATAAAGCTAAGAAAGTACAGTTATTCTCAGCTAAGAGATTTTCCAACTGTAGAAGCTCTCAGGAGATGTTGCTTCTCCCCCAAATCCTGCTGAGTGGGCCTCCGATGAAAGCAGGTTATTCGTGCTGGTATGTTGGAGGGGAAGAAGGATGAAGAATCATGAAATCTGAGACCCAGAGTTCAATTTCTTGGTTCACAGATGAGGAAAGGGATGTTTCTAAATGTTGAACAGAAAGGTAAAGAGGTTTGCTCAGTGTCACATATTTAGTGGCATACCAAATGATTTGTTGAAATGAGCACAGGGCTGGGAGTCAGGAGTCTGGATTCTTCCAAAACTGATTCCCATAGCTTTCCTGTGCCCACCGGCCTGTGGGTTCACATCAGGGCCCAGAGAATGCTGCATACCCCAGGGCTATCCTTATGCCAGATTTGGACAGCTCCAGGGATGAGTATGTCCTTGTCTTGCAGGGTAACAGATACTCACTGTATCTTTCATAAGCCTTGCTCTGTTGAATTTTCTCAAGGCCTGGCATGTTGGGAATTTGCCTAGACAGCTATGAGGCAGTAGTTTCACCTGGCTCCTAGCCATACTTTTTGTTTAAAGGCGGGGTGAGACTCTTCAAACTTTTGATTTTTATCATTTAAGATTGTTAGATATAACCCATGATTCATAGCCTAAGATGTAAGATATAGCTTTTATCATTGCATTCTCTGCTCAGAAACCTTCAGTGACCTTCCTCTTGCTAACACATAAAGCTCAAACAGTTTACCATAGCATCCACAGCCTGGCTCCCTCTCAACCTTCCCAGCCCTATCTTCCCCGACTCTGCCACCCTCCAGCCAAAGGTAACAATGAGTGCTTTGTCTTATGCCTGACACTTCTGCATCTCTTGGCCTTGTTTAGTGTTTCTTGGGAGGTGTAGAGGCTTTAGAATAGGAGAGATATGGGATTCATTTTTAGTGTTCCCAATCTCTATCTGTGTGACTGACAGCAAATTACATCAGATTTTTCAGCTGTAGTTCTCCCATCTGCAAAATGGGGAAATAATGGGACCTACCTTCCTGTTTTAGGTTAAGTGTAAGAGATGAGTGATATAAAGCACCCAGAATAGGTCCTGATTCTCAGTAACCATTGGAGACATGTTTATTCTTATTATTAGTTAAAATAACAGACCTTTCCTCCTCCTTTTCTACATGTTCAAATCATAACATCCTAAGGAACGCACCTATTTCTGTGAGTTCTTCCTTCACTCCATCTACAACTCCCAAAAGTACATCATTTCTCCCTTTTCTGAATTCCCACAGCAACAAATTTGTTCCTCTTCTGTCATTTTTCATTTTTAACCTCATTTTGGAAAAACTGATAATTTTGCTATTACTTATGTGAGCTTCTTGAAATCAAGAATTGTCTTAGTAATTCTTGCATCTCCTAAAGCAGAGGTTCCCAGATTTGGATGATTACTAAATGGGTAATTATTATTAATCATCAGGGGCATTCAAATGTGATTTAAAATTAGAGATAAAGGTTCAATAGGTCCGAGCTGGGTCATCAGCAACCATCTTCCCTCCAAATACCTAAAGCGGGGGATGGTAGCAGCAGACGTTCAGTGTACGTTTGTTGAATGAATAATAACTTGGTTCCATGCATATGAAATGTTGTTGAGAAAGATTTCTGCACAGTGGCAGGAGGTTTTCTCACTTTAGTAGTTTGGCTTCCGGGCTGGTCAGTTGGGAGAGAACATTACAGGACTGTTGACTACCTGACTTCTCACTGTTTTCTACTTACAAGTTCGGCTAATGTTGCAAACTTTCACCCCCTTTCCCACAGCCCTTTTTCTTCTTTAGTTCTTATTACTTAAAACTGTACTTCAAAATACCCTTGACATATTGTACTTGTTTCATATACAATTCTGGAATTTAAACAAACATGAGGGATATTTTTCTTTCTTATCTGTGTCCTTTATAATCAAGAATGGTTTGACAGGGTCTGTTTTTTTTCTCCCACTTTTCCCAGCCATTTAAGAAAAGAAAGAAAAGAAAAGAAAAAAAAAAACTAGTGCTGTTTATTTATTCATTTTTCTACTCAAAGCAAGCTTACCCCTGCTTCTTTTGTTTCTGGATTGTTGCTTTGTTCCATTTGA